ACTGTCATCTACAAGTCTAGAGAGAGTCATCTACAACATGTAACTTAAATAACGCACATCCTGAAAATAGTTTGTTCAGAATCGTTAACTGAATCGATTTATATAACTTTTAGTATAGGTAATTTTTTATCCCAAGAATAATTAAAACTACGGAAATTATTGTCACATTAACCCTGTATTGTTAAAACAAATCGAAATGGACCGTAAGTCAAAGCAATAAGACTTTTAAAATCGCAGTTTTATTTGTGTTCATACAAATTCTATCATTCAATACAAAATAAAGAAAAAAAAACCTTATGACGAGACCAGTAAGGATGCATATACATGTTAAATTAAAAATTTGGTGTATGTATTATGATTATAACATAATATTCTAATTGGGGTGTTTGAGGGTGTGCGTTAATTACGTTACATGTTGAAAAGACAATCAGTTTTATACAATGCCCTTATGTCCAGTCAAAATGTGACTACACAATTTAAAAAAACTAATGATTTTGACTATGCATTTGGATTTTGATATACCTAACTTTTACCTATGATTTTGATAACCGGAGGACCAATTGCCCTCCACAATCCCCCCCATCCTCAAAGTCCTAATCCCTAAAAAGCCGATAACGCATTTGTAACGTCTCTGGTATTCCGTGTGTCCATGGGCGACGCCGATTGCTTACCATCAGGTGATCCGTCTGCTTGTTTTTTTAACGGTTTTTTTGTATTTTATGGGCCGACGTTAGACCACTATATCGCCAGGTAGTAAGCGATGATGCAGTCTACGATGGAACACGTCGTCCCATAAGCAACCTATTCACTCGAGCCTTGAAGACACCCAGGTTATCAGGTCAATTCACAAACACTCTTTAGTAGTACGCACAGGGAAACTTGATACAAAGCGCTTTATGCATGTGGGTGGAACATCTACCATGGACCTGTGACGCTTTACCGGTTGTGTTGTGGTACGATGATGGAAAAGACTAGGAGGAATCAAGTTGGCTTGTCCTATATAAAAAGAATACCAAATAAAAACAGTGATAACTCACCCAGAATGGATAATCGTGTATCTTAAGGTATTCTTCAGCCTTCTTCATAGCCTCGGACTTTTCCTAGGAAGAAATAAAAATAAATTAAACATATTACCAATGATTTACACGAATGTACAAGTATTTTATTAATTGGTAACGTATGTCGTATGAAAGACAATTTAGTTACGTTTAAAATGAGAGCGTTTTGTTGTAAAAAGGAATATTGATTTTTTAAGTTATAGGGCGTTCAATATGATGAAAAAATAAAACGCTAGTGGCTCCGTTTCGCTTCCAAGTGAATTTCATTTTGCGTACCTACTTAAAAAATAAAATTGTGTACTTGCCAACTAGTCAAATTCAATACTTTTTTCGAACTGTCAAAAACGACAGTTTTCTATGAATTTTGTACGAGATTGTGTATTGTGACGTCACGATTTTTTAGCGTCAAACAGCATACTTATTTCTTAAAAAAATGCTGGATAAATACTAAAATTAAGTTCGTTATAAAATCAATTAATGAAAATGTGATATATTTTTTATATTTTATTGTATTGAAATAATTTATTTTTGATTAAGGAAAGCACCCAATTAAACAAAGACTGGATTATTTTAGTATTAGATATTGATTGTGAGAGTAATCTCGACCAATGACGGGTAAGAATGCAATCTCACATAGAGAGTTCGATTTAACATCTTACAAAATAATCTAGCTGTTCGACTGTACACAAAAATACAAATAAGATAGGTACCTTTTCATTTGATTGGCGTCCAACCCATACGTAGATACCGCTGTGGCTTCCCGTGTCCAGAATGTAGCATTCCTGTAAAAGTAGCATAATTATTTGAAACTCTTCCTTTACCAGTGATTTTTTTTATTTTTAGAGGGATAAATCGTCCAAAGATTTCTCCCATCCGGGTGAGGCGAGTGGGAGTGTCAAAGTCAAAGTCAAAGTCAAAGCATTTGTTTCAATTAACTCGTCGAGTACCGGTTTTGTAGACACAATTATAGAACAATAGGTTGCGGTCACCGGTGACCGCTTGGTGTTTGACAGTTTAAACCATAATTTGGTACTTTTGAATACATTGTACAGTGGCATTAAGTGCCGTAATGTTCACCTCTGTCTACCCCTTCGGGGATAAAAGGCGTGATGTTATGTTATGGTACTTTTGAAACGTCAACAAATATAAAATAAATAATAGTCTGTCAGTCAGTCCGTCAGTGAAGCTAGGTGAAGCTAGGTGCTCATTCCAAAATGTAGATTCGAATGGAGAAGAACGAGCAAGAAACTCCATTCGTTACTCTTTTTTGTCAGGCTATTTACTACATAGTATAAAACAAAGTCGCTAGCCGCCGTCTGTCTGTCTCTATGTATGCTTAGATCTTTAAAACTACGCAACGGATTTTGATGCGGTTTTTTTTAACAAATAGAGTGATTCTTAAGGATTATTTGTTTCTACACAGCATAAAACACAGTTGCTACTTCTAAATTATGAGTCCTCTGAAATTGTACATCAAGTTTAATGCCGACACTTGGTCTAATTTACATAACATCACGCCTTTTACCCGCAGAGGTGCACATTATACCACTGTATAATATGCAACATCCGCTTTAACTATTCTTATGAGTCCTATGTAATAGGGGGTGAGCCTATTGCTATATACCGGGCACATTTCCAGACTCCGTGCCTACTGAGAGTATTTAAAAACCCGATCCGGGAATCGAACCCGAGACCCCTTGCCGGGCAGTCGCACTTACGACCACTCGGCCAACGAGGCAGGCTAATTTAATATTATTATTATTTAATATTATGGGTCTAATTTAATATTATTATAATTGAAAATCCGAAAAAGGCCAAAATAGCCTGAATGTACTGCTCAACTCAACAGTCGCAGTTACCACTCGATCAAAACGATACTTACGAGTAAATGTCTTATGATAACTGTATATAAGGCCATTCTAAATGAAGTGGTACTCAGGTCGACACTATGTATTATATCGAACAGTCAACATGGTCGTGTATAGTACTCATAGTATTGATACTATTCATATTATGTTATTAAACATGATAAGATAAATGCAATGAGGAAGGATAAAAAATACTACTTCGTAATTGCAGAGACACATAACA